AAGACTGGCTCAAGATGGTGAGCACCGCAGAGCTTCCGGACCACATCCGGGAGTTCCAAGCTGCTCTGGAGTTTCTCCTGGGGAATTGGGGCAAAGGATGGCTGCCACTTCCCCATTTCACCACCGAAGGTCAACGCGAGCGACTACCATAACTACAAGGGCTGGTAGGTAAACTCTACTTCAAGGACAATGTGTATGATCATCTACGAACTGCTAGAACTGATACCATATAGGTTAAACTTTCTAGCCCCTTAGAAAGTCCCCGGCATCTTTTTCAAACTGATAATTTCAACAAAAAAGAAAAAACAATTTTTATCATAAATATTGAGTGTGAATTCCTATCAGTAAACAAATTCAATGAAGCTGGCCAAACCGAATGATGCAAACTCGTTACTGCTAGCAAGTGTTCTAAAATGCGTCTTTGAGGCATCAAAACATAAAGAGGGGCAATGCCAAGCGATGATGAGGCAACCAACTCGTGCCGTCATTGGTCGAGGGGAAACGAACCCAAGTGGGCACATTAGGGGGGCAAATAAACGCACGAGGTGCGCGAAGAGCAGACAGATTTGCATGGCAGATTGTTTTAAAGGTTTCGATTCGAATAAAATGTACCTGGACCAAACATTTTTCCCTACCAATTTTAATATGGTGATATACCGTAAAATAACGAAGAAACACCCACCCCCATTTTATCGAAATATGCGTAAAGCCAACTATGGGCGCTTATTAGGGCGCTTGATGTGTACTTGCCCAAATTTTCGAATTTCAAAAATGTTAATAGTGGGCGCTTGTACGGGTATGGGCGCTTCCTCGGTATTTTACGGTAGGCTACACATGTTTGATGACATGGAAGTTATGAAATAGCTTTTCCTGAATACGAGATGCCAGTAACTGACAGCCAGCTTTTTACACTTTTAATGGTATGTTTAGAAGCTATGTACATCTCTGTTCTGCGGAGTTTTAATGAATTGTGCTCTGCTGTCTACCTCCCTTTTGAATCTCCAGTTATGAGGACTGTATGACCACAGCATGATATATTCAACATCCATGGAGCTGACACATGCCTTGTAATGTTTGTATCCAGGTATAGCATCATTCTGCTGGCCCTCGTAGAGCACCGTTACCGATTCCGGTATGTGAACGTTGGGACACCAGGGTGGTACCATGATGCACATGTGTACCAGAGGTCGGCTTTGGCGGCTGTTCTGCAAGAACCAACGCTGCAGATGCTTATGGTCACCGTCAACGGGACCACCGGGCCGCCCCGGATCCTGTGTGACCAGGCATTCCCCTTAACATCCAACATGCTCAAGCCGTACCCTTGCAAGACGTTAAGAAAGGCTCTCCACAGGAAGGCTTCAACCGACAGCTGTCGTCTGCTCGCCGAGTCGTGGAGAACGCCTTCGTAAGGGTCAAGGCACGATTCCGCTTCATTATGAAGAGGATGGAGTGCGAGGTGGACAATGCCCGGCTTGTTGTACAAGCCTGCTGCATTTTAAACAACGTCTACGAACATTTCCAACGACGGTGTCGAGCCCCAGTGGCTCAGCGACATGGCCACGGAGGACAAGATCTATCTGCAACCGGTGTGCACCACAGATGCCGAGGCAAACAACAGGCAGAGCGTCAGGGACGCCACTGCGGGTTATCTACACCAATGCTCGAAACAGATGGTCTAGATGAAGAGCGCAAGTGGCTGCTCTTGTTTGCAGTGACAGAATGCCCAAGACTACAGACCCTGACAGCTATGAGGGCCCTTTCAAGTGCCTGAAGAACAAAAGGCCCTTTTAAAGGCCAAACAAATCTGGCTTTGGAGCATAAAACTTGCTGCCAACTCTCGTGTCCCAAGTGAAGTCTCATGTACCGGTCAATATGCTTAGCCTTCTGTATGCTTTCATGTGGCTTTTATAACAAAATTTTAATCAACTTTAAGGCACTGCCTGCCCAAATATAAGTTCAAGCATCTCTCATAGCTACCATGTGCAATGAAACGAAGCTCATAAAACAAAAAATCATCTGAAAGGGTCACTGCTGGAGTACAAGAAATACCAGCGCCTGTTCGGGGGATTCCTTCAACTGTTGCTTTCCATGTGAGTTGCAAGCAAAAAAAAGTATGGGTGCGCGAATAGTAAAATTTCAGCTTGAATGAAATCGAATATTCCCAAATATGGCATGGTGTGGGCTGTGCACCACTTTTTAAGGGGAGACACTACCCAGAGAAAAAAAATTCTGCAAAAAACATTGATTTTGAAAAATTACATATTTACATCCATCTACATCCAGAGAGTATTCCCAGAAATTTTCACCAGTTTACACCTGCATACTGAATTTTTTATAAATTATTTTCTGTCCACCGAAGCTAAAGAAAAGGTAGGGTTTGGAGCACTTTGAACACATTTTCCTCTGTTCCACTTTTTGGTATAAATTCCATTTTAGTCAATCTATCGTTTGATAATGGCAATACAGGGGAGGCTCGTTCTTCACTTTTCCTGACTGAAATTTAATAAGGAATGCGCCTATGGAGTCTGTTTGTCACTTTACAGATGTCTTTTATAAAAAATGTTGACATTTTGTCAAAGACACAGAAGACCAAAAAATTGACCAATTTTGCAGAAGAGAAAATTGATAGAAATCAATTACTTTTTACAAAAAAACTTTCCATAGGCGCACCTCCTAGGCATTCTGCTACATATCTAGCGAATAAAAATCTTGAATATTGTGATCGTTTTCCAACGATTGATTAACTAAACAATGTAGGGGTGTGGCTGATTATGTTGAGTCAGTTTTTCAAGCCAAGCCGCAAAGAAAACTATGTGATTGATGACAGCACCTACTTGCTTGAATTCATTGAATTCACCAACACTCGGGGCTCAGTGTAATGTGGACGTGTCGAATGACACACAGCAGACTTCCACCCTTCCATTGCGTTTGCATAGCTGCTGTAGGGCCACATGAATCCCGCTTCTCTCACCCACCACCCTCACCCCCTATCTCCCCGACGCTCCCCCGTCGAGCTTTGGGTGGCGAAGTGAAACCAGTAAACGTTCCGTTGCAAGTCAAAAGCCTGTGTTGTCTGTTCCTCTTCCACGCCTCTCTTTCAATACCATAAATTAGAAACCAACACTCTCAACCACCTAAATTATACTTCCGTAAACTTCATGTAATGTGCTGTCCTGCTGGTAAGCAACTGAACCACCTGGAGTTTAACCCATCCTCGTTCTTCCAAGCCGCCATCTTCCTGTCAAAGATAAGTCTTCTTCGCCTGCACCTTCGAGCCGTGAGAGTCTGCCTTTGAGAGAACATGCCCCATCCCTCAGTTTACAGTCTTCTCAGCTCCAAACCATCAAGTTGGCCTTCCAGTTACAAAGTTATGCAAATAACAAGAAAGGAAATCTCACGGGAAATCCTTGTGATGAGGACTGGGCTACGCTTTCTGTTGACCGGATGCTTCGGCAGCTGCTTCAATGCACACTCCGCCTTCGTTTTTCTCAGGAATCTCTAGACCACCTCCTGGAGACATCGTGGAGATGCATGCTCCAAGGCATTCTCGCGGGTTCTGCCTCCCGTCGCAAGGCAGGCCTGGATCCCCCCATCAATTTGTCAGACACCGAGCTGTCGGCAGGGGCAACTGCCCTTCTGTCGAAAAGCCCCAAGTTTGCCGGGCCTGCACCATCATCAAGAGTGGACTAGCTGGCCTCCATCTATGAGACTGCAGCAAGGGTCCCGCAGAGTGAACGACGGAAGTTTGTCGGGGAAACGGCCGACGTGCTTTGCCACCACTGTGGCGCGACTGCACCGGTACGTTCGGAGGCAACATGTGTCGTCTTGGAGGAGCTCCGCTAATCCGATCTGGTGCTCTTAGAGGCAGACAAGGGGGGCCTATTCGTCATAATGAACAGAGACAAATTCAGAGAGAAAGTGGATAAGGCACTAAAAAGCTTTGTTCCCTTAACCCTTTCATGGTCACTGACGTACCCGTACGTCAGCGTGGGTGCGTCCCGCATGGTTGCTGACGTACATGTACGTCCGCGACTCCTCATTCAAAAATTCCCGCCTCTGCGTGAACGGGCGCGCTCGCGGGGACGTGCTGCCATCTCATAGGGTTGTAGGGAACTACGACCGCTTATCTCCAGTCGTGTTTGTTTTGGAGGGGCTTTTGAAATTGCGAAACTGGACGCTCTGTGCACGCGATAACTTTCGAGATGGCTGTGCATGCCAGCTGCTCCGGAGGTAGCGGAGATTGGAGCGATGGCTCTTCGGATTCAGATTTTGAGCCCTTCTCGGACTCTGAGTCGGACGAGAGCTCGACATCCGACGAACAACTGCAAACCAGCTCGGAATCGGAATCCGACACAGCCGCACCGTCTGCTGGACCGTCTCGGAAGCGGGCGCGTCAAAACGAAACCGACTGGAAAAAAGGTGAAGACTTCTCCCCATCTATATTTCCATTTGACGCGTCGCACTCCGGACAGCCTGCAGGCACTCTACTCCAGCCAGATGCGAAAGAAGCAGATTATTTCAAACTCTACTTCGACGCGGGAGTTGTGTCTTCGATTGCAGACGAGACGAATGACTACGCGCACCAGCTGATCGCGCAGCCCGACCTCGCACGGAAATCGCGACTGAAAGCATGGGTAGACGTTGGTCTCGCTGAGATCTACTACTTTCTGGCAGCTGTTCTGCTGATGGGGCTCGTCCGAAAAAATGCTGTGAGGGATTACTGGACCACCGACCCAATGACTGAGACCCCCTTTCTTTCAAGGCTTTTCTCAGTAAATCGCTTCTGCCTTTTGCTGAGAGTGCTTCATTTCAGTGCCAGCACTGATGCAGCAGATCGACTAAGAAAAATCAGGCCACTCATGGAGACACTTCAGGCAAAGTTTGCGAGTCTCCTGGTCCCATACCAAGATCTCTGTATCGATGAGTCGATGATGCCCTGGAGAGGACGTCTTTCATTTCGCCAGTACCTCCCTTCAAAAAGGCACCGTTTTGGAGTGAAGATGTTTGTTCTGTGCGACGTGATGACCGGGTACATCTTGAGGTTCATCGTGTATACCGGAGCTTCCACGACAATGACGATGATGAAGGAGTTGGGATTTTCGGGCTCAGTTGTCCTCGAGTTGCTCAACCACTATCTAGGAAAGGGGCATTCTCTTTTCGTAGACAACTGGTACACCAGTCCGGCACTTTTCCAATATCTTCAAGGGAAGCAAACCAATGCCTGCGGAACAGTTCGACAGAACAGAAAGGGACTTCCCAAGTTCAAAAAAAAGATGAGAAGGGGAGAAGTAGAGTCATTTCATACCGATACTCTTCTGGCACTGAAGTGGTTTGACAAAAGGGAAGTGCATTTGTTGACCTCAATGCATGAAGCTCATCTTGAGGACACTGGCAAGGTGGACAGAAGAACAGGCACTCCACAGAAAAAGCCAGCATGCGTACTCGAGTACAACCAGAAGATGGGACTCGTGGACAAAGTAGACATGCAGCTGAGCTTCACTGAAAGCATCAGGAAGACGCTGAAGTGGTACAAGAAGTTTTTTTTTCACCTTCTGGACATGTCTCTGTTGAATGCATTCCTCCTTCACCGTGAAAGGAGTGCCTCCAAGATCACGTTCGCCGAGTTCAGAAGAAGAGTCGTATACCAGCTCGTTGAAGAGCATCATACTGAGAGGCGAAAGGGTGGAAGGCCCAGCGGAGACAACCCAACGAGGCTGACAGCACGACACTTCCTCGAGAGGGTGCCACAAACATCGGCGAAAGGCAGCCGCACCCAACGAAGGTGCCACGTGTGTGCCAACACAGCTCTCAGACCGAAGCAAAGAAAGGACACAAGGTTCATGTGCGCCGCCTGTGACAAGGGCCTGTGTGTGGAACCCTGCTTCAAGGACTACCACACTTTGAAGAAGTACTAGAAAGTTGAAAATTCGAAATATTTAGTCCTTTTTGTTTTGTTCTACCTCGAGCGAGCGTGCCGCAGATCTTTTGAAGTCTTATATTTTTTATGCTACAATAAACTTGTGAATTCTCTTTGCTATCACACCGAGTAAAAAAACCCGACCACGGGGGTGCGCCCTTGGAAAAAAAATGCAACCATGAAAGGGTTAAAAAAAAAAAAATACATCAGGAAAACTATTTTCTGAGCTCAAATCAGTTTGCGATTCCTTCACCCTCTCTTTTTTTTAAAAACGCTACCTTCTGCCCCGTATCAACAGTACCGTCCCATCTTCTTCACGGCAAAAACGCACAAGCCAGACATTACCCCTTGAAGCATAATTTCTGAAGAGGAATGCTACAAGAGCACCTTTCCGCTATCGATCTCCCTTATCCCTTCCGCGTTAAGGACTCCCTTGAGGTGATTGATTATATCTGCCCTTTGCCCTCCAATCAGGACCACAACATGTTCTCGCTAGATGTCGAGGACATGTATTAATATCTCGACCTCAAAATCCTTCCGAGTTCTGTGTCTGAGGCAATCGACCTGCACAAAATAACAAGGTTCCAGAACACATCTGGAACCACGGTCAGAGGATTCCTCGATATCCTCTGGCTCCACCTGGGCTCCACCCTGGTCGAGCACAAGGGAAGTCTTCATTCAGAGGTCGGGGGTGTGTATCGGTTCCTATCTCGCGCTGATCCTCAGCGAGATTTATCGTTGATTTGTAGATTGTGCTATGCAGGAGCAATTTGCTTGTTTGGGCACTGAATGTAAAGGGCCATACGCACATTTGCGTTTGGACACGGTGCATTCACTAGCGTAAAGGCGTTGCGGTGCGTTGCGCAACACATACACGCAAAGCTTGTACGCACAGTTGCGTTGTAACGCGGCCGACCGCAGTCGACAACCAATAGAATCTTGCTATCGGCGCATTCGCTCAACTGATGGAAATGAACCTCGTTGAGCAACCCAAACCAACATGGTAGCATCCCGCGGTAGCAGGGGTATGGCTGCGGCTCAGCTCGGAAGGGAGAAACTGGAGTATTTGTTCATCGAAAGTGTTCGCGGGTATGTGGCACAGGTGGGCAGCGAATCTTATTGGCACCTAATTGTGCGATCCACCGCCATGATGATGCTCCTCCTGCATCGACGACATCCCTGCCACGAGTGGGTGCAATATCTGCTTTGCTCCCGGGAAACCTTCGTGGAGTACCACCACCTCGTTCGTGACATGAGGCTGGACAATGGGAAAGACTTCTTCCAGTATTTCCGGATGACGAGGCAGAAGTGTGTATCTCAACATTAACTTGGGAAGTGTTGCCTGCGAGCCATTGGGCCACGGGGCCACCTGTGTTTTTAGATTCAGAGAGTCTAGAGTTACGTTCAAACGGAACAATATCAGATGCAGTAGAGGGGCAGCAAGAAAAAGCCCTCCGGAGATTAGCTCACCACATAACCGGCAAGTACAGAGAAAAGCTCATCGGGGTTTGGGCAGATGCGGAAAAAAGCTCCCAGATTTTTTCTTTTTCTTTTCGTATGGAGGCTGTCGGATCATGCTTAACATACATCAGTTTATTATCACTAAAACTCGTTAGCTTTATAAAAAAATAGAATGTACTTTTTTGTAGTCGGTGACTATCGGTTCTGTCTGGACGGAACTCTAGTAGTAAGTTTGGTTCCGTCTAAACGGAACCCTAGCCACAGCCTTTCAGATTTTGGCTATTCTTGTGGCTATGATTACAACTACCCATTTGCATTCAAATCCTCGTGTCACTAGCCAGCTGGAAAGATTTAACCGAAGTGATTGCAGGGACACCAGCAAATACATCATGTTGTTACCAGCAGTTACTCTGTCTTGCTTTTAACCCCCAGCGATTGGTCAGTGGCGGTCTTAGGTATGTATACATATGTGCTCTTCTGTGCATAGTGCACGACACGCCGCGAACACATCAGGTCTGTTCGATTCACCTGAACTGGCTGAACTAGTTCAGTAGTGCAAGAACTGGTGCATTCGATTCAACCGGAAATTGCACGACCGCTGCACTGGCGTGTTCGATTCCTCCTAGTTCTGAACGAGTTCAGTCCCAGTTCCGCAAATGCTTGCACCGCCTCCAAAGCCAGTCCAGCATTCGTGTAGTAGCAGACGACAAAAGCAGACGACTCTTCTCTTTCTTACTCGCTGTGCTCGCTCATTTAAAACATGTTTGTTATTCATAATAACGTAGAAACTGAAGTCTTCCCACTCGTAGACGAAAATGGTGTACCCGTAGTGGACGGAAGCGGGATGGTGTATGTAACCGAGGGTAGGAATTAGCTCGAATATGATGTTAAAAATCGTAAGAAGGCTGCGTAGGCTTGCTTACACAGCCTTGCTTACGCGGCCTTGCTTACGCGGCCTTGCTTACGCGGCCTTGCTTACGCAGCCTTGCTTACGTTTGGTGATTATACATCGATGTTTACAATGTTTGCATTCTATTCTTTAAGACGAGGAACGAGTTACGCTCGTCTTTGCCTCCGAGCCGGACGCAGACCCAGCTGTCCTGCAGCCTGCGTGTCCGCCCGCGGCGGACGTCAACGGGCAGCTGTGGAGTGCCATGAAGACCAAGTTCTTTATCAAAACTTATAGGGAACTAAAGGAGCGTCTCAGAACAAAGGGGGGTTTCAGGTATGCCTTTGTCAGGATATTTTACAATACATGCTAATATGTAGTAAAAACCATGTTTAGGACCAAACGAGCCCTGTGGCAGCAGCTGGCCGACACCGTCGTCGGGGAGTTCGGCAGCGTTGTCACAGCTGACCAGGCCGAGAACAAATGGAAGTCTTTAGAAAGAGCCTACAAGAACGCCAAATCATAAAAAACAACAAGTCAGGCCACTCTAGGGTGCATTTTGAATACAAGGAGTACATACGTTCACCGATTCTTTATATAGGTCATCACTTGTAAACGTGCTGCTTCTGTGGTTTAGTGAGCTTCGCGACATCCTCGAGAAGGAGCACCACATTGCACCAACCGTGTTGTTGGCGCCGGGAACAGTGGTTGAGAAGGAAGAAGAGACCAAGTAAGTACTTAAAAAACGTATAATAAACGTAACATAAAAAAAAAATTGTTTCAGCACCGAGGTTGAAACCTCCGGAGGGGCAAAGGCAGGACCCTCCTCACTTGCCTCAGGGGTGGCTCCACCCTCAAACCAGCGTGCTCCGGCCGGCACATCGAGCAAGAGAAAGAAAGAAACCGCCCTGGGCTCGCTGCTCAAAGTGTTCACCGACATGGAGGCCAGTCGGAAGCGGCAACACAAGGACAGGAGGCTCTTATCGAGCACCTCATGACTGCCATCAAAAAGAGCGCGCCGGCAGAGTAGACGTGCTTCATGCACTTCACTGAACTTGACTACTGTTTGACTGTTTCGCAGGCCGTTTTATTTTTTAGTTTCATTATTTCGACTGGTGCACAACTGTGCCGTACGAATAAATTTGTTGAAATTGTCTTGCTGATTTTGTTTGCCCCTCCTCTGTAGTTCCCCGATTCATTCTTAGTTTTTAAAATTATTTCCGAGTTATGCAGCGTGTATCTTTTTACCGCCATATCTAGTTTTTTTTTAAAGTTTTGTTGAGTGTTAGGCTGAAAATAGCTTGGAGAACAATGTTACGTTTTAGGAGTCAATGGCACTGACTACCTGTGAATGTAGTAGGATATTGGATCAAAATAATACTGTACACAGAAATGAAGGAATGAAGTAACCCGTTATTTTGTTTAATCATGTTTTCATGAAGTCACGTTTCATTTTCCAAAGCTCAAGTACCATCTTTGTACGCACACACACACACACAGACAAAAAAAAAAAGACAAATAATATTTTTGGAGGAGCAAGTGTAGATATCGCTTCCTAACATTCGGTCTTAGCAATGGCCTCTCGGATCCGCTCGGAAAGACTCCTTGTGGCGTCGTCCGGTTGAATCGCGTGGTCATCGTCGTTGGTGACTTGGTCAGGCGGGCGGGCGTTGTTCAGGTCATCGAAGAAGTCTCTCTCTGCATTACAAAGGTTGTGGAGAACGCAGGCGCCCATAACGACAAGGCAGCACTGTCTGATGCTGGCGCTGTCGACCAAGTACATTCTCTGAAATCGCTTCTTGAGCAGCCTTAAAGTGTTTTCGATTGTCACTCTCTGTTGACCGTGCTTCATGTTATACGTAGTCTTCCAGGTCGGCAGGGCCGCTTTTGAAGACTTGAAGGAGGTCATGACGTATGGCAGCAGGGGATAAGCCGAATCCCCCAGCAGGTACCCACCTGCACACTTGGCTTCCGCGCCCTCGGAGACGGGGCTTTCTTCAGGATGCAGGCGTCGTGCTCTGAACCGGGGAATCCGATGCAGACGTCGATGAATCGATTTTGATCACCGCAGATTCGCTGCAGAACAATGGAATGAAGCTTGCTTCGATTGTAGTAGGAGTTCGGAGACTCCGTTGGTCGCAGGATTTCTACATGGCATCCATCAATCGCCCCGATCGTTTTGTGGGGTCCCTGTCCCCTTAGTCTTCCTCAGGAAGCCGGCTTGGCTCCTCCGACGTCTTTCCTGGTCAGGCCAGGTGATTATTTGTGCGCTGATACCGTTCAGAAAGTTCAGCGCTCTTTCAATGCAGAGGTGAACGGACGACTCCTTTATGTCAAAGCGATCCGCAATCTGGTACATTGTGGCTCTCGTGCCTAAGTAATTAAGCACAATCAGCAACATCTTCTCCGCCGAAATCTGCGGTCATCCACCAACAGAATCCCGGTAAAACGCCGAAGCTTCATATCGACCAGCCAGCTCCGCGTGTGTCTCTCTCGAAAGCCTGAACAAGTGCATAAATTTCAAATCGAAGTAGGTGTCGATCACCTTTTCGTAGTACGGGGGAACCCTGTTCTTGTCAGTCTGTGCCGAAACAATAGAGGCAAGTGCAATAATGTCGTCAAGCTCATCGTCGCTCTCGTCTTCGATG